TGAACATGCTGGAGGTCATTGAAACGAGCGCTGCACCCAACCTGGAACCGGGCGAAACCCAGGATGAAAGCGTCCAGCACCTCGTGTCTGCTCCTCCCCGGGGCCGCCTGCGTACCGGGGCCGGTGGCACCCAGGTGATCGTAGCCGGCCCCCTCCTCCAGAGCCCATATGACCTCTTTGCTGGGGACCACCGCCTTGCGCTGTGGCCTGGTGACCGTGTCCGTGAGCGCCTCTTCCAATGAGCTCTTCTTGGACTTGAGGCGATGGAGCTCGTCTATCTTCAGCAACCCGAAGGTCTTGGAAAACCACTTGAGGGTGTTCCACACCTGCCGTAACTTGCACGGGGTGACCTCCTCTTCGGCGAGCTGGTTACGGAGAGAGCGGACATGTCGTTCCTGCCATGGAATCACTGTGAAGCCTCTCTTCCGGAGACTCTCGTAGACCAGGCAATGTTGCCTGAGTGTCCGGAACCTACTGTCCCCCAAGAGGTCCAATGCCTCCTTGCGGAAGTCCTCCCCCAGGATGTCCTGCATGTATGCGATGTGCTCCGCAAAAGGGGCGAAGTGGGCAAGGAGCCGTTCCGCCCATTTCCCGCGCATATGGAGTTCCAGCGCTCGCTGGGTCGTGGGCTCCATTTCCCTGATTTTCCCCGGCCGCCAGTGCCTCCACTTCAGAAGCTCCGGTTGTTGGAGTGGGGTGGGTCATCTCGTGAGAACCACCTCAGTTGGTCCTGGCGGTCCCATTCATTCTCCAGCGGGGAAAAGTTCTCGCTCGGCTTGCCATCCGCAGTCGCCATGAGGAGGAACCATAGGCTATCCCATAGGTCGGCCAGGTCCGCCGCGGACAGAGGCTGGGGAAGCCTGCCCGCCGCCGACGCCACCAGGCCGTTGAAGTAGTCCGTCGGGACCACTTGGTCGTCTTGCCCTACCGGAATGCCCGAGAGTTCCAGGAGCTGGGCGAAGCGGACTGCCGGCTCCCCGCCCAGCTTCCTCCCCTCCTCCTCCGTGCCATGGCGCAGGCACATCAGGACCAACAGCTCCCCGTCCGTCTGTCTCGGGGAGAAGGACTCATCCGCCAATGTGTCCCATAGGACCCTTGGAATGCGGTCCCAAAGACGTGTGTAAGGCGGGCGCAAAAGAAACTTGGTAGAAACCCTAGCCATGAGGAAAAGGGGGGTTCGAGCCTCCTATCGAACGGCCGGGACCCAACCGCGGCACAATGCATGCATGTTCCAAACGCGCAGAATGCCGAGTGCAGATGGAGCAGGCAGGCCACACGCAGCCCGACAGGACCAAAAGTCAACCCCCGGAAATCCCCAAAAGCACGGAGGGGGGAGACCAACCAGGCGGGGGATTCCCCAAAAACCCCAAGGGGACCTCAAGGAAACCAAGAGTCAGCCGCAGCCACTTTTTCCAAACCGTGGCTGATATGGTGCATGTGGCCTCCAGATCGCGGCAATCCGGCTGTCGTGACGTGTTGAACAGGGGGGAAACAATGGTGAAAGATGAACCCAAAAGGAGACACCCTTACTCCTCCCCCCACCCGAGACGGGGCCAAAGGCACCCAAGTCCCGGCGGGAAGAGATCACACGACTCCACATCCAAAAGGGCTGTGAGACACGACCTAGCGGCTCTCACCCTTCAAGATCGCCTCCTTTGCCACCGAGTGGATGGCCGCCAGCCCCGACTTCTCCGGGTTGCTCAAAATGACCGACCACAAGGCAGTGGAGACATCCCCCAGGCCATTCGAGGAGCTGAAGCGCATGTGGGGGGTGCTCGCGTCGCCCAGGACTAGCCGCTCGTCCCTGGGAGGCTCCGTCGGCTCCACCCTCTTGTAGAACTCCATCCTGTCACGGATCCACTGATTATATAGCTGCTCCGGGGGCTCGTCCATCACCAGCTGCAAGCATGTGGCCTTGTCTTTGTGCCACCCCGTGATCTGGAGCAGCCTGGTCCCCCCGCGGCTCGCCCTCCACAAGCCCTTGCAAAATCTGCACATATAGCCCCCGGTGGTCTTGAACTTCTCCTTGCCCACCACTTCCCAGGCGCTGATGCTGGGCAAGACCAAGCCACACTCCACGGAGGCCCAAAACACATGCTTCGTCTCCTTGGGGAAGTGCTTGTTGATGTACTTCCGGCCCGCGACCGTGACCGTGGCCGTGGTGATGGGCGGGTATCGCCTGGTGCCCTGGTCTGGTGTGCGGAGCGTGGTGTCTGCCCCCCCCAGAACCTTGGCCTTGGGGTCCGCCTCCTTGGCCGCTCCTCCCCCGGGGCCAGAGGCACCCAAGGGGGGGCCAGCTGCCGGATGAGGTCCTGGGAGTAACCCAACCTGTCGTCTGCGGGACCTGCTCGACCCAGTCGTTGCAGCGCCAGTTGACCTTCACCTCCACCATCGAAGACTTGCTCAGGCCCGCCACCAACTTGGTGTAGACCGAGACGAAGGCCTTCAGCGATGCCAGCGGGAGGGTGATCCGCTCGTCGCAGACCCCTGAAACGCAGCGCCTCCTTACTGTCGTGGACGGGGGCCACTGGGATCTCCATCACAGGCAACGGGCAGTTGACGATGAAATTCTTGGCCGCCAAAAACGTCCCCATCTCCTTGAAGATGTAGCTCCATTCCGCCTTGCTGCGCGGCTTGGGGATGCCCAGGCTCTCCAGGAAGGGCGCCGCCTCCTTCCTCATCTGGAGGATGTTGCCCATCCACTTGTCCGAGGTCGAGCCCTCCGCATTGCGGCCCCGGCGTTGCGTCTTCACGATCAACGGGAAAGTGGTCCAGGCCGAGTAGATGTACTTGAAAGTGAACCTGTGGGCGTACACCCCCGTCAGGCTCGGCAGGTCCCACGTTCTCGTCTGCCTGGTCCAAAACACCCCATCACCTTTCGCCCAGAAGATCCCCACCACCTGCTCCGGCGCCGGGCGCTCGCCCCGGTTCACCTGCGCTCGGATCTCCAAGGCCGTGTAGATGACTGGGTCGATGTGGTCCCGCTCGCACGTGAGTGGGTGAGTCCTGCGCTCCAAAGCCAGGAGCTCCTCCGGCGTGAGCTTGAACTGCTGGTCAGCGCCCCTGGGGATCTCACCGCTTGCGTGCTTCTTCCAGATCCCCCCAAACATCCGGAGCTCTCCCTGGTGCCTCTTCATCGCCCAGAGGAGCAGGGACAGCTTGCCCTGTGGTTGAGCATCCATGCCTGGTGTTCTGGGTGCGCTTGTTCGCCGCCTGAGCCTCCTGAATGGAGCCCATCGCCTCAGCCAGTGCCTGGCTGGCGTCCACGCCCTTCCCCTCCAGGTACTGGTCTCGCAGCTTGGCCTTGAATCGCTCCAGGTTGACCTTTCTGAGGGCACGGGCTCCCTCATTGGCCACCTCCTCTGACGGCAGGGCCTGCATGCCCTCCTGGAGCGGCGCCAGGATAGCCATCTCGTTGTCCAGCATCTCCTCCGTGACCAACTCCTTGCGCCGCCGCCTGGCCGAGGACTCCTCCGGGGTCGGTTCCCGATGCTCGCTCAAGGCCTTATGCAGCTCCTCCTTCTTCCGGATCGCCTGGCCCACCTGGGGGTGGTAGAGCTGGAAGCTCTGAGCCTCCGCCTCCTTCAGGGACCGCTGCACTTTGACCTTGATCTCCTGGCATTCCCGGACCTTCAACGCCTCGTCGTCCGCCTCCATGGACAGGATCTCCTGCCGGATGTCCACCCGCCTGTTGAGCGGGACCACGTCTGCCATGGTGATCTCCTCTGCCGTGTCCGTTTTCGGAGGAGCTCTCCCCAGGACCGTGCCGTCCACCAGGTTGCGGTCTGCCTGTGCCCGGGTACCACCGGGGCCAGCGGCACCCAGGCTTCCCCCTTCCCGCTGTTGGATCCAGGTCGGCTTGCCCTCCACGATGAGCAGGTTGTAGGTGATGCCGTCCGCCTCATAGGTGGCCGAGGGTGCCTGGAAGGGGACGAACTCCTTGCCTGGGCAGACCCAGCACTGCTTGGCTGCCTCTGGCCACCCCGTGCCGCATGCCTTGCACATGAACTTGTAATCGGAATGGCCTGCATCGAGCCTGTGCATTCGCTGGGTGCCAATGCACGCCTTGTTCCGCTGGAACTGCGAGGCCCAGACCTCCTCCTGCCGGATCTGGATCTTCATCGGGACATAGGCCTCCAGGATACGAATCACCAGGTCCTCCGTGAGATTCTTCCCGACAAACTTGTGGAACAGGGAGACCGCCTCCTCCACCGTGACGTCCCTCAGCAAAGTGGCCGCCGATGCCGGAAGGACCGGGAAGAGGTCTGGGAGGTCCACCAGCTTGAAGTAACCGGGTCGGCCCTCAACCGGCACCAAGGAGACCGGTTTGTTCACATGAGCCGTGGTCTTCTGGGAAGCCGCCACGAAACCCCTCAGCCTCTTCGTGGGTGGTGTCTGTGCCTCCTCCGGTGGAGTGGCCCGCTCCGTGACGTCCGCATCTTCCATGTCCTTGTCCTCCTCCTCGGCGGGGCCAGGGGCACCCAAGCCGGAAGTCGGTGTGGCAAACGCCACACGGAGACGCTCCAGTGCACTGGAGAGGTCCTTCATCACGTCGGTAGCCGAAGCCGACGGGGGGGCCTCGGGCTCGTCCAAAACCAGGCCGGCCGCCACTGCCGCCTCGCGTGTGCGAATTTCCTGGGCCTCCTGGCTGGCCATTTCAACCTCCTCCACGGTGAGCGTCTGGTCCTCAATCAGCTCCAAGGAAGTGGCCGAGGTTGCCGAGGAAGCCATTGCTTGATCGGGGTTAGTTCGAAAGTGTCCAAACTCAATTTTTTTTTCACACAAATTGGGTTCTAGGAACCCAGGGCAAAGCTTGAGCCAAAATGGCACATGCCATTATGGTCAAGCATTTCAAACACAGTTCATGTTTCCACATGCGTTTCAACATTAACAAATTATACCGCTCAAAGCGTTCGGCCTCCTTCTTTCTCTTCCCTTCGTTTCTTCTGCCGCGTTTCCCCGCCGGAAATTGTCCATTGATTCTTTGGCGGCCGGGGGGCTTCAGCACGATGCGGTTGAAGAGGCAGCCCAGCAGCCCGCAGACCAGGCCGATGAAGCCGCAGGCGAAGAAGTAGATGAGCTCCGTGTAGGAGCAGTTGGGCCCCAAAAACACCTGCGGCTCGGAGCGTCAAGGTCGCTCGGAGCGGAGCGGGTGCCAAGGTCGCTCGGAGCGGTCGCAGGTCGGAAGTAAAAAGGGAGGAGACCGGGTGGCTTCTGTCAACTTCTTTTTGCTTTTGGAAAAAGGTCGACTAGGAACACTGCAGAGTCCAACACCTGGGCCCGAGCAGGGAGGTGTTCCTTTTGCAGCTTCGAGGTCGGAGCCAGGTCGGAGGAGCGGTCGGATGATGAGAGAGGAGACCAAAGCCGATGTGTGCTTCTCTTTTTTGCGGCCAAAAATGCTGTTTCATCAGTAGGAACACCTGCAGTTGCTCAGGGTCTCAGTTGCAACACCTTGTGTGAGAAAAAGAAAAAAGGGGGACCCCCTCAACGAGGGATGCTTCACAAGGGGGTCGATCATGTTTCCAAAGCTGGCAAAAAGACCCTGCAGTTGCTTCTGTCGGAGCGAGGTCCAAGGCCGTCGCAGCGAGGGAGGAGGTCGGAGCCGATGTGTGTTTCTCTTTTTTCGTCCAACAATGCTGCTTAACCTCCCCTTTTGGTGGGTTGAATATGGAAGAAAGAACCCGGCAACAACCTAAAAGCACTCCTTGGTGTGAGGCTGAAACCACCGAGCGAGGATGAAACTCTGAAGACTCTTTGGTAAACTGGGCTGTCCGTTTTCAGGTCCCCTGCTAAAAGTGAATAACTTGTGGGTTAAATGGAAAGCCAACCGCTTCTCTACCCACTCAAAACCACTACCCTAAGGAACTGGATACCTAAGAACCACCAAGTGAAGGAGACCAAAAGCCCAAGACCGAAGTCCGAAGAGACCGACCCACCCAAACATCCCTGATGGGTTGTCTGGGGCCGAAATACTTGGCACGGTGCACCTCGAGTTCAAAGTGTCATCCATCTTGTTTGCAGACAATTGTACTGCATCCCCAGACAGAGAGGCTCTTGTTGGATGCTTCGGGTTCCAAAAGTGGCATTTCATGGAAACGAAAAAAAATGATCAACTTGTAGTCTTGGGAATGTGACTGTCCAAATGCGTGTAGAAGACCCGTGAGAATGTGACTCTGTTGAGAAACTTTCGGACCCGGGTGGCAGACGGAAAAATTTGGTCGCAAACCAACCGATCCTTCAGGAACAAAAGCGGAAGGTGCATAGCTTCTAGGTCCTCCAGTAGAGAGGTTAGAATAAGTTGGTACCAACTTCTTTCTGTATAGTAGCGGAACCCTCCCCCAAAAAAGGGCAAAAGGGCACTGGGGGACGTGTCAATCCATGCTTCCTGCTCCAAGCTATCGCCTGTTCCCCCTTTTCGGGTGAATCGGGGGCCCATGGTCACAATGGGTCAGCTTTCCCTTCCCTTTGAAGCCAACCCAAGGGAAGCGAGCCTAAAAAACGAAGAAGGGCGTGTTCAGGTATGGGTCTTTGCGGTATGCATGCAGATATTCACCAATATAAGCTTGTAGCAGCATGTACCCCTCACATGAGTGGTATATAACCTCCATATCTGTAAAACCCATACCTGCAAACGCCCAGAAAGGTGTCCCGGTTTTGGCACCCACCCAACTTGTAACGTAAACCTTGGCCCCGCGGGGTACACCAAACAATTGTCATATGTTCTGACTTGCCCCCCAGGCGGCCGCAGAAACTGGCAGCCACCTACACATAGATGTCCTTGTGCTTAGAAATAGATGGGGCTTCCGTCACCCAGAACCCATCTATTTCTATCCCAACCGATCAGAAGGGCACCTATCAGCTCACCTATGAAGCCCATTTGGCTGTGGCTCAATACATGTACCGAAATGGCACCTTGGTACATGCCAAGCCCAAAGCCTGCATAACCCTAGCTCTTTAATCTTGAGCCGCGGATTTTCTTGGGGTTTGTTTTGCCAACCCCCGGATTAAGCAGAACCCCTGGTGGATTTTGCTCGGGGGGTGTCCCATTCCTTGCGGGGATTCAGACCACTGGAGGGAACACCCCCCCAGGTCCGCGCCTGGAAGAGGGGGCTGTACCTTGGTTGCTGCAACGACGCCCCTGCAAAACGTGTTTCACTTTTTGGGGGTTTGATGGAACAAAGTCTAAAGATCCAAAGTTTAGTGGAAAACACCTTCATTTCAACCGAAAGGTGAAAGTCCAAAGATCCGTAGCCCAATAGCAGTCCAGGTACTGCCCCGTGCGCTGCCAGAGCTGCTGCCAGAGCAGCACCAGGCTCAGGCTCAGGCAGCAGGCGCCGAAGACGTGCACGAAGAACCTCCAGACCCGGCTTGGCCCCCAAGTTTGGCTGGGTGAGATAGGAAAACCGAAGCCTTTTTCGGGGGTCCCCGGGAAAAAGAAAAAGAACACCCAAATAAGTTGGTTTATCTATGTCTATGATGGTGTCAACTACCCCCAAACTGAAGCTACCCCCAGTGTTTAATGGGACATACAAATACAACTACTATATAAAGGGTATATGGTGGAAACTACCTTCGATTTGTTTCCCCCCCAACAGCTGAAAGTTATGGGGTCGGCAGGCCACCTGAGAAATACCTCCAAAACCCAATCAGACCCAAGAACATGCCCTATCGGCCATGGCCTATTCGCCATTTTAGACCTATGTGATAAACATCTTCACCTGCCAGAGAGTTCGACCTAGGATTGAAGGGTTCCGACAAACGGGGTGGTGCATGAACATCATTTTGACCTGAGTAGTACCACCTAAACAGTCCTTGCTTCACCCAGAGGTCCTTCAAAATTATCCACCGGTGGGGATGGCCAGCATCCAGGCTTCTGACAAAAAAAAAAAAACAAGTATCCCCGGGGCCATTCTAGGTGGTTCTACTACCTGGTTTCATTGGGGTTGTGGCAAAGCCCATCTGTGCCAAAGTCAAAAACGACCTGCTTCCGGGTTGGCAGGGACGGGCAATCTAGGGTTCCTGACAGGATATGTCTTTCCTCATCAGCTTGAAGGTTTAGCCATATATAGGGGTCGCCTCAGGTCCAAACACACATGTCTTTGAGGCTCAGGCCGATGCTGATTAACAAAAAATAACTCGTCTCGGTTTCAACGTTGCAACACATTCCAACCGTTGGAATTTAAGACATGCTCCCACAGCACCCCACGTTCGCCCACCGGCCGCAAGGGGCCTTTTGCTTTGAGACCAAGGCGGGCTGAGAGTGCGACAGGGGCGACACTTTCTGCCCCCTCAAAACTGCCCCCTTCTAGACAGCCTCGCTTGCTGTAGATGTTCTGTGCTCAAACTACGCCCCCGTTCCCGGCTTGAGTGTGGATTATGACCTTCTTCGAGGGCCAGGGCTGCTGTGGAATCTCATTCACTTCGTTCCACGCTTGCACTTTGAGTCAGTCACTTGGATTGGGGGTTCCTACTACGATACTTTTAGGTTGAGAGGGTTTAGGTACCAACACAACCGACTGTGCAGGTTGGGGGTTTCAGATTTATTTTTTATTTTTTATTTTTCGGGGGGCCACCATCGCTGGCTCTTTAGGGCGCATTTTTCTTTTTCGGGGGCGGCACCGCCTTGGGGGCAGGGGAGGGTTCGCGTTTCGAGGGGCCCCGGGGTTCGGAGCTGACTCACTTCCGATCGAGCGGATTCGCAACAAAACACATGTCCAACGGGTCGTTGTGCCACGAACACGAAGCCCGAACAGTCCAAAACCCGGAAATTCCGGGGTTTGTATATGAGCCACGGTCCATATTCATGCTTGTCCCCTGAGATTTGGGCGAGTAACCCCAGTCCCAATCAACAATCTGGTGCCAACTGTCATGGAAGCATCATTTGTTTGACCCCCCTCCATTATTTTTTGGACCCCCCTCCTGTTCTTGAACCCCCCCCCCCCATATTTTCGTCCTCCCCTAGGCATCCCCAGTTTTCCATGTTGACCGTTCCAGGTTTTAAGACCGGCTTCCTTCCGGGCCATGGGCTCGGATCTTTGAGGCTTTCCACCTGGGGATGGGGTGGAAACCCTAGGGGTTGAGCCGAGAAGCCATGGGGAACCAGAAGAAACCGACCAGGGGAAACCCAAAACCGATCCTTTCAACCCAAAACCCAAAGCAAGAGGTGTCCCTTCATGGCCATTCCAAAACCCAAGAAGAAAAAAGCAACACAGACCACCCGTTCGATTCCTGGAGAGTCGAAAGGAACGGGTCTTGCCCATGGGCCACAAAATCCCCCGTCCCCCGTCCCCCGTCCCCGTTCAGGACTCCGAGATCCGAACCTGGGGTTCACGAAGGTGGCCGCCTCCTCGACCACGAACAACGTGCCTACCGGATTTGTTCGAAGCCGTCGATGGGGGAATTGACACGTGGCTGGAAGTTTCGAACCCCAGCAAAAAAAAAGAAGCTTTATGGCTGTGGCTCCAAAAAACACGGAATTCCAAGATGGGTTGCCCGATCGGTAAGTGGAAACATGGACCAACACCTGCGGTTTGCCCCTCCTGTTTAATTTTGAGCCGCACCCCTGGTTAGTGAAAAACAAAGGGGAGCCCAAAAAAGCCCAAAAAGGACAAAGGGGAGCTAATTCGGGGGAATTGACACGTGAGTCGCAATCAAAACCCAGTACCAACATGGTCCAAGCCCAGAACCATGCTTCAGGGGGGTGTTCCCGGATCACGGGATCAAGGAAAGAAACGATCGAGTCCTTCTTGTGCCTTTGACATCGTGATGTTGGACAGATTTTGGGCACCAAAAGCCGGTTCCTCCTTGGATTGCCTTCGATTCCTTGAGCCACTTGGGTGAAGACCCCCGAGAAAGAAAAGACCCCCCCCCCCAGCCCAACCCAAAGGCCCGCATCGAAACACCCCACAGGGAACCCGCCAGAAGGGGCTCTCTTGAAGGAAACCACAAGACAAGTTAGTAGGAGCCATTCCCTCATTCAGAACCCACCCCCTCCCCACGCCACCCCCCCACCCTCCCCTCCCCACTCCCCACTCCCAACCCCACCCACCCTCCCCTCCTCCCCACCCATCCACCCCTGTCCCCACCCCACCCCACCCCACCCCACCCCCCTCCCCACCCCACCCCCCTCCGACACCCCCCCCCCCCCGTCCAACCCCCCAAAGCCCCGCGCCGGCGATGGGCGCCCAGAAAGCCGCCGTCACGCCGCAGCCCGCCCCCACCGCCGCCGCGTGCAGCTCCAGGCCCCGCGAGCCTCGCCGGCGGGGGAGCCGGGCGGGGCGGGCGGGTGAGCTGACACCAGGTCTTCTGTAGCTTGGGGGGGTCTAAACCCAGAGGTTCACCTGAAGGATGTTTTTGTTGCTCCTTTTTTCTGGGCAGAACCTTTTAAATGATGGCCTTAAAAGGAAAGCATGACCAGGTATTTGTAAACCCTGATCCGTTTGGTTGTTTTTTACTCTTTTTGGAAACATGGCCAGGTTTTTGGGGAGCCCTGATGCATTTGGCCGTGTTTGTCTTTTGTTTTTGTGGACAAAAAAAATATTTCGCTTTTAAGGGAAACCATGACCAGATAGATAAACCCTGGTCCGTTTGTCTTTTGGTAGATAAACCCTGTGGATCATTTGCGTGGCTCGTCTTTCCGGAGCTGGGGCCCTATTCTTAGCCCGAAAGGGAAACCGAAAGACAAACCGAGATCCACGTTGACCCCTAAACAGGACAGAACCATCTGTAGGTCTTCGCCCTTTGCAAGATAAAAGGAAATTGGCCGATTCCCTTCTCTACTGGCAACTGGGATCCATCGACTTTCAGCCCTAAACCTCTCCTTCAAGTGCCATAGGGGAGGGGCAGAACCTTTCTTTTCAGCGCTGTGCAGTTGCTTTGGGGCAAGATGGCGAGGGGCTGGTAAAGGATCTGTACAGGATTGATGAAGGGTTTGCAAAAGGTCTGCAGGGGTCCATGCGAAGGCGTGTGCGATGATAGATCTAAGCCGCGCCAACCACCGTTCACCACCTTTGGAGCTTCTTCGTTCTCAGGTCGGATTGCTGTTCTGAATGTTGTTTGTGTTTGTGTGTTTGGTGTGTTCCTGCGCTTTCCTTACGGACACGCGTTTCGCGTCCTCTTGCCCATGGTCCTGTGGTTTGGTTGGGGTAGATTTTCCAGTCTTTCTCATCATGCTAGCGTGATGTCATGTTGCGCATTGTTCGCGTTTCGTTTCTGGCTCATAAAGGGTTGGTAAAGGGTTGGTAAAGGGTTGGTAAAGGGTTGGTAAAGGGTTGGTAAAGGGTTGGTAGGGTTGGTAGAGGGTTGGTAAAGGGTTGGTAAAGGGTTGGTAAAGGGTTGGTAAAGGGTTGGTAAAGGGTTGGTAAAGGGTTGGTAAAGGGTTGGTAAAGGGTTGGTAAAGGGTTGGTAAAGGGTTGGTAAAGGGTTGGTAAAGGGTTGGTAAAGGGTTGGTTGGTACTAAAAAATCTGAGAGGCTTCATCGTTCCACCTCCTATACCATCTTTGCCAGCTTGACGTTTGCCAGCTCGGTCCCCTCCCACCCTTCACTCTTGTATGAGCGCCGGCCTGCGCAGACAAGTGAAAAGGAAAAACCACCCCCTTTTGGCCTCCCCCCTTGACACGTGGGGTTTGATCAATGTCCAGACGCCCCCCTCTTTTTGGTACTTGACTTATCCCCTCTGGGACATGTCGTCGTCTTCTTGCGTTTTTTTCTCCCCCGAATCATCCCATGAGGTCCAAAAAGGACGGACGGACGACCTGCAGGCAAATCCCCGACCCCTACCCCGCGCCTTGGTCAGCTTTCAGCGCCCTTTGGAAGAACTCGAAGCGGCAGAACTGCTCGAAAACCAGCACGCCTGGCCCCCGAAGCTCGCTTTGGGAGGGCTCCAAAGGGCACTCCTGCGCAAGTGCCGGCTCTCAAAAACCCAAACCGTCTCCAGAGCTCAGCGCTGAGGGCTGAGTGGGACCAATGTCTGTGTGCGCTTGGCCGCTTGGTGTTTTGTGAGGGTGTTCAGCAACCAAGACGGTTCGACCCCCCAAGGCCCCTTTGTGTCTGCACATCTTGGCCTTCATTTTGTGTCATCCTTCTTCTCCGAGAAAGGCTACTCTGGCCTCATGACTCACTACCATGATCAAAGTCACCCCCTAAGTGGGTCAAAGGGAAACAACCCATTCCATTTTCTGACTTTGATAACCCCCAGAAACCGTCAAAATAATCACCCCAGCGATTTGGGCTACCATTAGGGTCTGGGTCCTGCGCTTGGTCCAACGCTCGTGAAAAGCGGCAGCAAATGGAGAGGCCATTCATTTTTCCCCCCTATCGATCTGGGTTTGTCTCAAACAGTTGTTTACCTCTGGTACTTTAAGATCCTCCCAAAAAAGTGTCTACTCCAAAAACAGGCTGCCATTTGGTGTGGTTTCTCTTCAAACCCTGCCAAAAAGGGTAAAGGGTACCAAACAGATGAAAAATGTCTTTTTGTTTTTTTCGCGGTGGTTTCCCGTTGGTGTTCAAAGTGCCAAAGCACCAAGCACTCCTCAAATACAAAAAATGTAGGGCGGAAAGTAGAGGCCGCGATCCCCTTGTGGGTAAGTACGGAGGGTGACTAATCCCAAAGGGAGATTTGATGCCTCTGTTTTCACCCAAATGGGTGTAATAGGGGACACCCTATGCTTAACTTCCTTTTGGTCTCCCTTTAAAACCAACCAAAGGGGGGTCCAAATGCAGTTCTGGTTGGTACCCCAAAACACGACACCCGACCTGTTACCAGTCGCCTCCGCCCGGGAAAAGGTCGGGCGTCGAAGCGTCGAGCCGACTCGAAACGACCCGTCCGACCGGTCGGGTCGCGACCTGCGGTGGCTCCGATGTGGATCATGGGCCCCTCCGGGCCCACCGCCAGCGAGGAGCCGCACGCGAAGACCACCCCGAGGATCTTGGCCACCTCCGGAGTCGCGCGGAAGGCGCCCCAGCCGAAGCATTGGGCCAGCGAAATGGGTGTTTCGGGGGGGGGGGCGGGGAATCCACTGGATTCGGGCCGCAAGGAGCCACTGACATGCATACAACTTCAAGGAAGTTGTCGCAAATCCTGGAACTTTGTCAAATATCCGCTGGGTTCGGTCGGAAGTCTCCAGACAAAGGTCTCAAAGCATTCGGCCGGCAAAAAAAAGGTAGTCTGTTTTTTTCAAAAACCCGTCGCTTTCCCCCGGGTTTCCGGAGGCGAAAAGAACCGGCTAGAAGAAGCCACTGACCTTTGGTTTTGAAGTACCCCGGTCGAATTGTTGGCCTTGAGGTTGGTTTGAGTACCTGGTACTGGTTAGGCATTTATAGGTCAAAACCTGCCGTCAAAGCATAGCGTCAATGTTTGCTGCTCCAATGTTTTTACTGTGGCTTGAAGAAAACTAAAAGGGACACCACCTTTCTTGCGGGGAATGAACTCATGTGTGCAGTTACCGTGATGTACCCTCGGTGTTTGTGGCTTGCTCCTAGGGAATCAACCGTCCCGCGCAAAAGGCAACAGGGAAACCAGAATCCACCGTCCAAAGGAAGGCTCCTCGCAAAAATGAGCCCCTACTGTGAGGGCCTAAAAGCGGTGGATGCGTTCGACGCAAGATACTTTTAACCAGCGAGGGTGTCATGCTTCTAGGACAATAATGTGTGTAGCCATGGTGGCCTTGTCTTATCGTAAGTGATCAACCCCCGCAAATCTCATAACAAACTAGGTAAACTGTTGTTTTTGGGGCTCCATGTTGATCTGCAGGGGAGTAGTTACAGCTTGAAGGCTGACTGTTCTAAAAGGAAAACGCAATCAAGAAGATTAAAGCTTACGCAGCTGTCCAAAACAGGGAACCGTGAAACGGCTTACCGGCTAAAGGTTTGGCGTACGTAGAAATGTTGAGGTGATTTAATGGAAGGTCCCACTGTAAACTGAAAGGCTAAGGATCCTGAGCAGCTTCATGGAACCTATGTCCAAGAGAGTTGAAAAGGAGTGAGATTTCAAGGCAGAAGCAAAGTGGAACATTTGGCTGGAAGCTCCGAGACCTCGAATATTATAGCAGAACACCCTAGCTTGTGAGTAAGTGTCAAAGCAAACGTGTTAAAGGTTTGCCCACCCCCTTTCCAAAAAAAAAAAAACGTCTTCCAACGGTCCATTGCATGAAACCATGTGCCCTCACCAGTTGTCGGCGATCTGACTCTCAAAATTGTTTGAGCGGAGCCACCAAGATCTGGACGGAGAAGAGGCTCCGCCGCACATCCACGCCGTTCAAGAAGGCGATGACGCCTGCTTGGAGCTCGCTTTAAAACGGAGCGATGGGGGAAGATCGCAGGGGTGAAAAGTGGCGGTTCCTTTTAGAAATGGATGGCGTATTCTTTTTCTGGGAAATGGATCCCAACCAACCAATGTGAAAAGCAACAGCCCCGTGCCAACAGAAACACATCGTCCGGGTTCTTGGCCCACGCCTCTCCCTGTACACAGCGACCAAGACGAAGGACTTGCTCTTGGATGGCTAAAAAAACGAAGGGAAGCCTCCGCTTGAAGCTTCGATTCCGAACCCAACTCAACATGGCGCCCACAAGCAGCCATCGTACAAAGGAGGCAAACGGGATCTCCCATGGCGAGATTTAGATCTACCAACTCTATGCCAGCATGCATATAGGCTCACAACCATCCCATGATCTACCTCTATGTCTGCGAAATCTCCATACAATTGTCATTCCCGCAAGAACACCTGACATCCGGCATGCATCTGTCATTCCAACATGCGTGGCATCTGGCATCTGGCAATCAATCGCAGCTTTTCATCATGGCCCTCGGACATCTGACATATACAGACTGCATGCTCCACGCGAATTTGTTGGCCCCGCTCGAGTTCTTGGATCTCCTATAAAAGCAAGTGTGCTCCCCTGTTGCAGTTTTGGGGTCCGCTAGCCGCTATTCTGGAGAGTTGTTTCCCAAACAAACTTCAGGCAACAGACATGCCCTCCATTTTTTGAGATGAAAGACTTAACCTTTGCTTTTAGACGGTGGTTTGGCTGAGCCCTTCCTTAGGGGCGAAAGGCCTTAGATGTGCGAGTCTTTGATGTGGCCCCCAAACCATCATGTTTCATTTAAAAAAAAAAAAAAAAAAAAAAAAAAACAATCAAGCCCAGGCAATCGCACAAAGCCCCTGATCCTCTTTTGTCTCACTGTTTCTTTTCCGGGTTTTAATGGCAAGCCATTGTTGGGCGGGAATGAACTTCCCAGATTAAAGCCTTACCGTTCTGCTTTTTTGATGCGGGGGTCAGCCCAGCTCAGGACTAAATTAACTACTAAAACAAGCACTGGATATCTGGGTATGTGTCAAAATTAAACCACCAGGGGACCACAGTTTTTGGTCCATGTTTCCACTTGCCAGGGTTCCATTTGGGGGTACCTGTTTTTCACCCACGGCGATACTAAATTTTGTATTTTCGATACTCAACTAAGTATGGGCAAGTTGAGGCCAATCCACGCCCCAAATGTTCCCAAGCAAGAGGGTCAGAATGACTGTTGACTGATCCGGGGGAGGTGTTATATGAATGTTGACCCAGGATGAACAAACCCCCTATTAATCAACCAGGGGTTTGTTAATCCGGGGTCAACTTTAAAGCAGGTCCAACAAGCTTCATAACTCCTCGTGCTGCATTTCATCTACAACAGAATAACTTGGGCACCTCTGGTCAATATCGAGAGGCAGCTACTCGAGTAGCATAAGCGCAAACCAGACTCAAGAACATGTAAAAACAAAAAGAACGCAGGAAGACCCCCAAAAAAACAAACAAAACAAACAAACAAACTAACTAACTAACTAACAAGCAAACAAACAAACAATATGGAAGAAACTCTGGGTTGAGTGTTTTGGCTTAAAACAAACTCGAGTTGTGTGGTGATTCTTGTAATTGCATATGGTCAGAAACAACCAAAAACAAAACGTCCTCTTGATGTGTTTGTGCGTTCTAAGTTTAATCGAAAACGACAAAAACAGAAACTAGAAAAGCCAAACAACAAAATGTGGGCAAAAGCCAGAGATTAGTCCTCAAACTGGGTTGTTGTTTGGCTGTGTTTATTTCCCATGTGTTTGTTCTTTCTGTTTTTGGTTTGGTGTTGTGTAACTGCATGCAGTCAGAAAACAAACAACAAAACTCAAGTTGTGTTTGTCGTTCTTCTAGTGTTAAGCCAAAAACCGCCAAAACACTCTGGGAAAATGTTTCTGCTAGACGTTGGTTTGTGTGTGTGTGCGTTGCTGGTTTTTGGTTGAAACCGAGGACACAACATCGTTTACTAGTGTTTATGGCGCCTTCTGTTGGATTTGAAGCCAGACAAAGCTAGAAAGACCAGTTGTTAGGGTGTTCCCAGTCTTTTTGGCTTGTCCACTTTTGTAAGGATGCGAATATGTAAAAAGAAGCCGGAGTTCGGCTTCAGAATTGTCAAACAAATGAACATGCTACAAACGTACTGAATTGTGCAGTGTTTTGGCGATGGAAGAGGCAGAGGTAGATCATGGGCGTGGTGACCGTGTAAAGACAAAGTGTGTGGGCATGTGTCTGTCTGCCTGCCTGCCTGCTTGCCTGCATGCCTGCCTGCATGCGCGTATGTATGCATGAATGTACTATACATATACATATACATATATATATATACATACATATATACCTAGTGCTTCCAGTTGCCACGATAGTATACACCATGGTTTCCCTGGTTACCTACCAGTGGCTTGCCCGCAAGCACTGGGAATATATATATATATATAATACATTCATGCATACAATCATGCATGCAGGCAGCCAGGATATAAATACTGCGGATGGACAAAATCCTGCACCACTTTGAAGGCAGGGGAAACCATTGCTTGTTGGTATCTACAGGGGAACCCAATCCCACCACTAAAATAGGTTCTAAAATGGGTGGTGAATTCACCTATCTCCCAAAATGAGATCCCAAAACAGTTTCGACCAAGCCGCGGAGCAAAATGGTACAAGCGGGCGTCGTAAGTCACCCCACCCCAGCGGAACTACGCATATCCGTTTAAGTCAGCCCATGCGTTTTAAGTCACCCCATTTTTTGCAAAACACAATGGGCACAGAACTGGAGGGGCGATGTTGCCAACCCCAAGAATTCACCGCACACTGCACGCACATGCTCAAAACTCACTGGTTTGGGTTCATGTTGAATGCTTTTTTTCCGGGCAAAACCCTATTGGGCACACTGCAATTAAAGGGTTCCTATCCTTCAAACATAAATAGTGTTTTCTTTTGGTTCCCCGGAACACCCGACAAAAGGGCTGCCGGCGCGAGTGCCGCGCGACTCTGCGCAAGTGCCGCGCGAGCGCCGGGTGAGCCGTGCCCTCATCCCAATGAACATTTCGCATGCGCACAGCACAGAATTATGCGATTTCAGAAAATGACATGCTTGAGACAACCATCTTTACATCCACAAACACAACGGGCACACTCACCCGGGACGACTTAGATCAAGCCGGGACGACTTGCAGCACTTACCCTGTACCTGTGGTTTTGTTGGTATTTACCAGGTCTCAGAAACCGGGGAGTTTCTTTGGTTGGTGCCCTACGCTCGGCTTTCTCGCCGCGCAAATCGACCTCGAGCGCCTGGGATGCCGCTGCTGACGGTGCTGGGCTGCCACACGGTGCAGGCGTGAGCGATGACCACGTAGGCCAAGGTCGCCGAGAGGTTCGCCTCGGCTCGGAGCACCGTTTGAAGCTCCCGGTGAGAGAAATGTCACCGGGCCTGGGGTTCAGTTTTGCCTCTCTTTTTCTAAAGGAATGGGGCGAGCTTTTTGGCTTTTTCGTTTTAGTCCATGATTTTTAGGAATGGGGCGAGTTGTTTTTTTTCTCTTTTTTCCGGAAACTGCCTCAAACGTCCGCGGCACCCATCACCTCCCGGAGGTGATGGTTCCTGAAAGGTTTGGGGTTCAGTTGCCATGAAGAAAACCATGGGGGCTAATCGGCAATGATCATTGTTGGTTTTCCTGGAGGCTTTTCCTTAAAGGTCGGGGATTCTGTTAAGGGGCTTTAGACCAATGCAAAGCTTTCCACGGGAATGACCAAGAAGGAGCCAAAAGGAGGCCTCAAAAGGGCCTCAAAGTCCCTTGCACCTTATAAAACTACGTGCACCTTTAAAGTATGGGTGGTTTGGAAGGAGCAATCTATTTAGGGTTAACACCCTTTCGAATCAGGAAAAACTGTGAGTCCCGCCAAGTCCCTCCCAAATACACCACAGACCAGGGTTCATAAGGATACATCCGAGAACCACCAGTTCAAGAAGATCGTCGAAGTCGGCCGGCAAGGTGGTTTTCTATCTGGACCAAATGCCCGCCAGCAAAAAACAACAACTTGCAAAACAGGTGGTTGGGATGTATCCTGTACTGGGCTGTCCTCAGATCCCTTGCTAAAAGTTTAACTTTTAGTGGGTTAAGTGGAAAATCGCACTAGACACTAAAAAGCCAAGAAGCTAAGAAGCTAAGGGGATGGCTGCGAACCACCAAGTTTAAGGAACCCGGTCTAATTGGCGGGGCTTGGATTGGTCTTTGGAAAGAGGTGGCAAAGCTGTGTGGCAGCCTGTGTTCTTGGTGGCAAAGCCAAAGACCACAAAGTCGGTCCGCAAATGGGACTTTGGGGGAAAAAACAAACATCGACTCTCTAATCCTCCATTGGCGAACATGTGCCTCCTAACACAAAATAAAGGCATATGAGCAGTAGTGAAATCGATTTCCCGAGAAAAACAAAAAGCCCATGAGGCCAGTCAAAAGATCACCAGCTCATGAAGAATTGGATCCTAGCCCTAGTCTATGTTTCATTTGGGACCTGAGACTCGCAAACAACCAGGGTGTTCCTGAATCAGTGCCCCCACAGTAGACCAAAACCGACCAAACCTCCCATGTGCCGCGAAGAAATTGGGAACCTCTGCAGTTGTCTAATTCCTCGAAGATACCGACCCATCCTTACCACGTAAAGGGGTCGTGGAAAACCATGGCTAATATGACCAGGCTTTGACCGAGAGGACGTGGACGTAGGTTGGGGACCCTCTTGTCTCTTTTGGAAATTTGGGGCCGTTCACCCTTCTCGTTGAGAGTACCTTTTGTTCTGTTGCTAGGGTTGGCTGAAAGGAAAACCAACCACAAAAACTACCCCATGCTCAGGCCTTCCCCCTGTTTCGGACACAAGCCCGCGTCGGGTTGTGAATTCTAGCGATTTCCCGGCAAGGGCCCGCAGCAGGGTTCCCCTTGAAACATCAACCCTAGCGGAGCACACATGGCAACCACTGGCGATGTGTAAGCTGGCAAGAAAGGAAAACAAGGAGGACCCCCGAACAAGCGCCGCCCCTCACAGCAAAGGCGGCAGATCATAATAATCTTCAAGGACCCACCCCTCACGCACACAAACAAAAAGAGAGCCCGGAGCATTCCGCCCAGCGCATGCTTGTGGAAACTCACTCTTTCTGATACAGCGTGTCATCCCCCCGCCACACATTGCCAAAGATTTCGGAAGTTCCGATTTGGTTCGCAGAAAGACTCGTGCCATGCCCCAACACAACCACAACTTTACAACCCTCGGTATGGTAGCAAAGAACTTTGCTCTTTTGCGGCCTGCTAAAAACGAACAGAACCAAAAAACATCTTTAAACAAAAATGATCCGACAACCGTGAAGACAACTACGACCCACACCCTCAACCCCCCCGCCCCCCCCGCAGCCCCCAGGTGTCGTGGCCATGGGGCCGCTAGGCAGCCCAGCACCCCCCAGCCCAAGGCCCAGTGGGCGAGGTCCGTCCGCCAAGAGCTGAGCTGCTCCTCGCGCCAAAACACGTCGCGAAAGCGCGCATGTCTTGGCGTCGCTTGGCGTCTGGCGAGGGCTTTTGGGAGGGTTCCCCTCAAACAGGTGAGCAGCGTGTTTCTGTGCGTGTGGGGCGTCCCCTCAAGTGTCAAAAAACAGGAAACCGGTGTGTGTGTGTGTGTGGGGTGTTGGGTGTGTGGGGTGTGTGGTGTTGGGTATGTTTCTTTCTCAAAATCGGAACCTTTCAAGCCCTTCTTGGATGCTTTGATTCAGACCGTGGGGTGGCTGGTTCGAACTGGAATCGGAAAGGTGCTCCGGTTGCTGTCCCTTGAAGAAACCTACCAAACATGGGCTACCAACTCCAAAAAAAAACGTTGAAACCCTGGGAAACCATTCTTTGTTTGTATTTACAAGGGAGCCATCATTCCAGGGTTTGTTAGGTGGTGCGAAATGGTTTCTGTCCATCCACAGTATGGGAGTGTTTTTTTTTTTTTTTCTGAGACCCTTTTTGGGGAGCTGGGGAAACCCTTTCCTGGTGGGTTGTGTGTCTGAAAGGAACAGAGCTCAAGGTTTTGGGGCTACTTCCATTGGATGCCTCCCAGCAAAAAATCATGGAGTGGCCTCATTTAGTGAAAGTATCCTTGGTGTACCCCTTACTCACTGCAAGTGCTTTACAATCGAAAAAGATACCCTCCCAAAAGGCTCACCCATATTAATCTGCAGGGAAGTATGTGCCCCTGAAGATTAAGTTTTCGTGCCCCCCGGTGTTCAAGAAAAAACAAGAGGAAGCTCAACATGTTTCACAATGCGAAGGGCAAATCCAAAAAAACGGCCGAGATAAATTTGAAGGTTTTTTGGACTTCTCGATGGGTCAAATTCAGGGGAGCCCGAAATGCTGGTTTTCCTTTTTGGGCAATATAAGGGCAAAATAATTATGGGACTGCACGGTACTTTAGACTGAATTCCTGACGAATCATGTAATCATTTGTTTGCCTTGTGGGTTTCTTGGTCCATATTCAAAGATGTCCAACAGATACATACATACATACATATATATATATATATATGTATGTATGTATTTATGTATGTATGCAAATATATATATATATATGTGTGATCATATACATATGCAAAACCGCGCCTGGCCATAGTGCACGACTTGGGCGCAGACGGCCACCAGCGCCGCCACCAGAAACTCCAGGACCCAGGTCCAAAAGGCCTTGCCCTGCCGATTGGCGTGCCCCAAAGGCAATTACAGAGGGCGATGGGGCAGGGGGGGTTGGAGGTGGGAACGGAGATTGGTTTAAGATTTAAGCCCCAAATTTGGAGGTGGTTTCCGGGGGCATTTCGGGCTTGTTCTGTGTCTGTTCGTTTAGGGCTTGTTCTGTGTGTGTGTGTTCAGCCTTGTTGGGTGGTTTAGGGCTTGTTCTGTTGCTGTTTGTGTTCAACCTTGTTGGGGTCTTTTGGGATGTGTTGTGTTCTTGTTCTACCTTGTTGGGTGGTTCTGTGTTTGTTCAACCCTTTTGGCTTCTGCTGCTGTATTGCTGTTTTTGTTCAACCTTCTTGGGGTGGATTAGGCTTCGTGCTGTGTTTGTTCAATCTCTTTGAGGTGTAGGCTTCGTTCTGCTTTTTGTTCAACCTGTTTGGGGCGGTGTAGGGCTTGCTCTGTTTTTGTTCAACCTTTTGGAGTCTTTGTTAGGGCTAGTTCTGTTTTTGCTCAACCTTTTGGAGGTGGTTTAGGGTGTGTTCTGTGTTGTTTCAACCTTTTTGGGGTGGTTCTGGCTGTTGTATTGCTCTGTTTGGTCAACCTTTTTGGGGTGGTTTAGGCTTCGTTCTTTGTTCAATCGTTTTGGGGTCTGCTTTTTGTTCAACCTGTTTGGGGTGGTTTGGGGTTTGTTCTGTTTGTTTCAACCTGTTTGGGGTGGTTGGAATTGATCTCAATGTTCACCCTGTACCTAACTTCACCCGGGACTCACACACCTGCCCTTTCTGTGTGGTGGGTCATTCCGAATTCCCTCAATTGAACCCTCACTTTTCAGCAACCAGAACCCCGATCAAAAATTCAACCAATACTAATCCACCAGAACCAAGGTTCCCACAGAACCCCAAAAATCAAAATCCACCAAGGCCACCCCCCGCAGAACCCGACGTCGTCTTTCGATCAGATCCAAACCGCGCCTTGGGCCTCCAACCCCCGGCGCTTCCCGCGGGCGCAGCCTCAGGACACAGGCGTCGCTTTGGGTTCTTTTTCTCGCGGCGATAGGTAGGGAGCCCTGGGAAGGACCGGTTTCGGATTTGGGGACTTCCCGAAAAAAGGCCCGCGCGGCTTCTTTTTGTTGGGGGGTTGGCACTTGGCTTCCCGGTGCGATAGGGGGAAATTGCGGATAGAACCAGCAAGTTGGTTGTTTTTGTTGCAAGAAATCAAGAGTATACCAAAACGGAAGGGAAAACAAAAGTCAAGCCAACCATCCAAAGGATCTTTCGGGAAAGGTGCGTGCAAAGCCCATTGAAGTCGGGCCTTTCCAAGAGGCGAGCCTTTCAACATGGGCCAGTGCACCATGTCTGGTGGGCAAAACAAGCTTCCCGATAGGGGTGTGTCTTTTTTTGGGGGACCCACCAAAATGGTGATGTTGTTGTTGGGTTCTCTTAAACCCACCGGCAAAATTGTACCCGCAAAAAACAAACGCGTGTCTGTCCTTACCCACAAACCTTCGGACAGAACGAAGAAACCCGCGGTCGACTATGTTGACCCCATATTAATCAACCTCAAATATGAATAGGGGGTGTTTTTTTGTCCCCCAGTAAACCCAAAGACACCGCGCTAAAAAACTTCGCCCGCCTCCCCACTCGCCCTCTGCCGCGCGGCGCGCGCGGCGCGCTCCCTCCGCCAGACCTCGGTGAGCTCCACCGACTGCGTCTGGTGCTCCGCCCAGTGAAGGCTCGACGAGGTGGACTCTACCTCGCAAGCGCGAAGCCCTGCGAAGCCCTGAAAGCTTTAACTTTACTTTTAGTGGTTTAACGGAAAGAGACCATGGGTGACTTTCCCACGGGGAAAAATATCATCTTTTGATTAATTTTCCATCCTATGGTCATCCCATGGTCATCCCATGGTCATCGGTTGCTTTCTCATCCAGTGCTAAATAAAAGTGTTTAACTTTTGGTGGTTTACTGGTTTAATGGTTTAAATCCCCTGCTCCCCTGTTTTTAGCGGTTTAATTCGGAAAACCCACTAGTTGGCAAAAAAAGTTGTTCAAGTCCTAACGTCCAAGCAAAATGCACCCGAGCTACGTCTTCCCCCAGCCGCGACAGAGGCACGTCCAGGCGGCTGTCCGGCTGCGCCATGGGAAAAAAGTTCAACCACAAGATGGTTCAGCTAAAATGGCGGTGGTTCCGAAAATGGTCCCATCCCAAATCCAGCTTTGCGAGAAATGTGCAAAGGTCATGGTTCCTAACCCTGGCTTTGTGGCTGTACTCCCAGCGCATGGCTGCCACCAACCAAGTGAAAATGTGTTCTGACCATGGGCACGCATGATCTACATGTGGGCCAAACGCACAACCAACAAAAAGCGAGGGCTTGGGGTTTCAATGGCAAGAAGTTGCCTCTCTTCGAAAGTGCCCGCCCTGCGCGCTGCGGATATTTTTTTTCCTGCCATGCCCAATGACAGAAATATGTCTCGCCAGGCATTCAGAATCCTCACGCCCAACTCGGATTCTGAAATCCTGAAGCGCCTAGTAGAGAGCCTTGCGAGGCAGCCATAGAACTGTGTAAGTACACGAAGGCACTCCGACAGGAAGCTAGAAGCCGGCAAGGCCGGCAGAAAAAAACTCTGCTTCGGAGGAAGCACTGACTCATTGAAATAACTTTGTCTTGCCGCAAGGACATCGCAAGAGTTTTAATGCGGCGTCCTTGAGAGTCAAGTGGGACTCTGCCAGCGAACTGACATCCATCTTCTCCCGCCAAGTCGAGTGGTTTGCATGGGATGTCCGGCTGATCCCATGGACGGGGAGAAAAAGGCAGCAGCTAGGCAGCTAAGCACACGTGAGCACTCATCAGCAATCCGAATTGAAACGCTCCAAAATGGTTGCGCGCTGTGCCTTGCTCACAAGGATCCCCAAGCGTCTGCAACGTGAACGTGCCACCCTTTTCATATCCTGCTTCAAGCACTGATGTGCTTTGAAGCCAAAACCACCAATTTCAGAGTCCCTACTTCCCCTCCCAAGACAAACATGAAACCCGAAAGAGGGCCCCTAGAGCGAGACGGTCTTCTGGGGGTCTCTTTCAGGTTCCATGTTGGTTTTGGAAGGCTCGAACACCGAAAAATGTCCACTTCGCCCCTTCGAGTCACAGCGCCGACTCCGCGCGAGTCGCTCAGCCTCTCAGAAAGCTGTGCACCAGCCTCGCAAGCAAGCGTACGCGCGCCCGTGAACGAAACGCTGCTGCTTCACCCGAGAAAGTCGTGCAACAACTGACACCCTAAAACAGATGGACGCGAATTCTCTGGAAATGGACCCCTTGGTGGCCATCAGAAATACTATGGGGGTTTGTGTCCACCATTTTGGAAGGGAGGCACAGTTGTTTGTCCAACTTTGGCCTTTTCTTCGGGCTTCCTTGCTGTGGACGGTAGATTGGTTCTTTGGCCCACGCCAGCACAAACATGGTCTTGAATATCCTCCGCCAGACCCGTATACCATGACGAAGCCCAAGACTTGATGGGGACTCGCTTGAAATGTTCATGGTAGGAGCAACAAGAAGAAAGAAGCAGAGAAGCTTACAACAGAAAGAAAAGAAAGGAAGGAAAGAAAGGTACAAGCAACCACACAACAAGTGAAGTATAAAATCACAGCCATATCTGGCCTTCTCACTGGAATCATTTGGCCCGTGATGTTAGACAGGCTCCTCATGAATACAAAACCTACCCTCTCGCACGCTTAGTGCAGACACGGAGCAAACCACTTGCAGAAGGTCGATCCAGCGGATACAGCCTGCATGGTATGCGCTTGCCCACGGCATGCTGAGCGAAAGCAGCCAACATCTTCGTGGGAAATTGTTCGATCACGCACTTCCGCGATACCACCGCGAAAACCTGTCTTTACCACTGAACGGGGTTGAAAGGGTAACCGGTTCCATGGCCAACCACGCGAGTGAGAAAGCCCAACCTCGCTCCCAGCACCCTGAGCAATAAGGCAGTCGCTGCAGGCAGCAATTCACCATCTCTGAACCTTCTTCCCTCAGCTCGGCATCGATGGCTGGGCAACGCGAACAACATGTATGAGTGCGTGTGCGTGTGCGTGTGCGTGTGCGCGCGCGTGCGCGTGCGCGTGCGCGTGCGCGTGCGCGTGCGCGTGCGCGTGCGCGTGCGCGTGCGCGTGTGCGTGTGCGTGCGTGTGCGTCTGGGTGTGGGTGTGGGTGTGGGTGTGTGTGTGCCTGTGTGTGCACCTGGGCATGTGTGGCTGTGTCTCTCTGTATCTGTAGAGTCAGTGAGAGTGAGTCAGAGTGCGAGTGAGGCGAGTGAGAGTGAGTCAGGGTGAGTGAGGGTAAGTGAGGGTGAGTGAGACTGAGAGTGAGAGTGAGAGTCAGAGTCAGAGTTTGAGTCCGAGTCACGGTGAGTATGAGAGTGAGAGAGTGAGAGAGAGAGAGAAAGATAGAGCGAGGAAGGAAGAGACAAACAGAGAGAGAGAGAGAGAGTGCGTGCGTACGTGGGTGTGTGCGTGCGTGCGTGGGTGGGAGGGAGGGAGGTCTGCTAAACCCCATGCAAGATGCACCCAAAACACAATGGATGGTAATGGCTGACCTGTAGAACGAGCAAGGGGTTCCTAACAGACATGCAAGCGCATGACGAGTCGCCATGCAATCGAGCTGTATGGTCAGAACTTGTCACTTGGAACAAGGACTGGCCTTCTCACTTCTTGGGAACTCGGATGTTGCCATTATCTCATGAAACTGAAAGACAATTCTCCTCTCTGAATGGAACCTGGCGTCTCTGTTTTGCAGCTATGCTTCCTGGCGGTTTTGGAAACGACACCAAAGCGAAACCAACATTTGGGCACGCATTGTCTTGGAGTCGGTCCCCCTGCTTAAGTCGTGTTCTAGGAACACCAAAAGCACAACTGAGAAATATATCTCCATTTTGGGGCCCGAGTGCTCCAAAAAAGAAAAAGTCGAGCCGCCCATTTCGGAAAGATCTTGTTTGACGTTGGGAGGGGAGCAAAAATTCTCAAACTTTAGCAGCTAAGTGGATTTGGATTTCAACCACTTAAACCACAACAAGCGAAAACGTAAAAGATTCCCAACCACCATGCCATGAGCCCCCCCAGAAACCCCCAAAAATAGAAAGGCAGCCCTCCCTAGGGTTTAAACCAAAGGACACCACGTTTCTTTCCCAACCGGCGAGCCACGAAAGTTCTGCGAGCCGAGCTCAGGGCCCAAGTGCCGAGGCTTGCAGCTCCGAGGTCTCGGCCTGAGGCAGTTCTGGACGAAGTGTTGGCCTGCCAAAAAAAAATCCGACCAAAGGAAGTGGAAACAAAATGCGTACCTGGAGTCTCCGACCCTGAGCCTGGCAAAAAAAACGTCCGTGTTTTCTCGATCTTCGGTAATGACCCCATGTTTAAAGGCATATGGAGACTCCTGGTATGCATTTTTCCGCGAACTGCTTGGCATATGTGAACCGTGGGTGTGAACTGTGACACCGTCACTCATTCGCTCCTTGTGTCAAACCCACGGAGGGGCTTAACGGGCCTATACTGACCCCGGAAACCCAAAAGCCCAGTTTGAGGGCCTTGCCATTTGAGGTCACTGCTAACACTCCCATGGAAAAACGGGAGGGGTGGGGGGCGGGGGGGGAGAAGGTCTGAGCCGATACACCCCTCCGCAAAAGAAAGTGAATGACGTCTCCTCGGTCCAATGGAACATCTAAATCCGACCTGCTTCAACATCAAGAAATTGAAAACATCCGACCTTAAATCGCCATAAAGATCAGCCCATACTGGGCCGGGGGGGGGGGGGGGTGAAAGGGGGGAAAGGGGGCCTCTTCCACCAGACCTCATGTCCGGTTTCTTCGAGATCTCTCCAGTGAGACATGTCTAGGGGCAACTCCGTCTTTGCCATTCCCCCAAAAAAAAACATCAGCAAGTGAACCAGAAAATTCCATCCCAGTTCATTCCAGAAAAAACTGGGCGCCCCAAAACCATCCAACAGGTTTTCAAACATGTGTCTATGTGTGGTGCTGGTACTCCGCTTCTTGTGGGTATAAAGGAAAAGCCAACAGAAAACCCAGCCCAGTTTTGGCAATACATGGCACTGGAGCGCCAGAGTGAAGCCCCTCGATGTTGAACCAACACTAGCCCAGGAAGTATGGCAAATGCGTGGTTTTCCTGAGCTCTCGTTTGAAGAGGAATAGCCTCGGAAATTGCGCCCACATGGTGATTCAGATCTAGAGAAGACTAATTACAAGGCTGCTTGTGTGTGCTTCGGAATGTCTTTGGTTGACCTTGAGTTCAAGAAAAAGCACTCTGTATGTGAATGGGTTTGCCTCCCAAATGAGGAGGCCCCTTCCAATTACCCACAAGGCTTTTCGGTGTCTACCCCAAACCTGTGGTTTCGAATCAAATGAGCGTCCTGATATCCAAGGCAAGCAGACTGTCCCCACTGCAAGACCGTGCAAGAGCCTGGCCCCGTTTGGGGATTTAAAGGAAAGAAGAAACCCTTTGGCAATGTTACCCCCCCCAAAAAAAAAAAAAAAAAACATGCCGCCGCAGCGCCGTGGGAAAAGGCAACAGGTGATGTTTATGGATTTACCTGTTTGACATTCACCTGTAGCAACAGGTGATGCTTGCGGGCAACAGGCGATGTTTGCCCAATTTAGGAGATCAGGGCTGTGGGAAATGGTTTAAACAGGGATTCCCCAAAGTATCACAGATTTGGGGATAAACCCCTTGATCCCGCAACCCACAGGATTGCCACTTTGGGGTTCACCCGGTTCGAAGCGGCGAGTTGCCATCTGAGTTCTTGGCCCGTGGCCAGTGGGGAAAGTCCTGTCGGACGATTCCATCGATGCCCTGCTCGGTTTCTCAAGCCATAGGGGACCTTCTGGACAAGATGGGGTTCCCTGGTAAATGGGGCATAAAACCCATCCAAACCCGTGGAACCCTTCGACTTCTAACCAAAACCGATCAAAAGGACTCCATCTCTCGGCCGGAAAGCCCATGGACCCTCCCGAAAATGGCGCCACGTTTGTTGCCGTCGCAAAACGAGAAGCCGCCCCGCCGGAGCGCCTGGCCTCCGTGAAATCCCGCATCGAGCTGACACCGGGCCAGGTCTGCGGGTGTCCCAGATGCAACAACAACTTGGGGTACTGTGGATGGACGAGATCCATTTC